TCTGCGGCCGCGCCAACCCGAGCACGCGCCCGCAGCGGCCAGCTAGTTTGGCGCGGCCGATGCAGCCGCCTTGGCGCTGACCGCTGGGCACATTCCGGTGGGCATTTCATTGCGAATCGGCGATTTGGGCGGGCGCCGTATCATGGCAACATCGACAGCGGTCGACTCGACGATGATAGTGGCGATGCTGGCGGCGATGTTGACAGCGACGACGGCGCCGCCGGCGCGGGCGCCGATGCTGATCGCGCCGGCGACGACGACGGCGTCTTCGCGTCGGTGATTGAGGTGTTTGGAAGAGTTCGACATGCGCGCGCGGCCGACGCGTGAGAGTGGCCCGCGTGGTATTATTTGACACGGGTCGTGCCCCCCCAGCAGGCGCGCAAGGGCGTGCGAATGACATCGGCATGCGGCGCCAGATGTCCGCGTGGCATAATTCCATGAACACGTTGAAAAAAACCGGTGGTTTTCCTAACAATTCGCAGGGGTGCGAGCGTGCGACGCCGAGAGTTTTCTGACGGATGTCGGCATGCGCGCGCGCGACGACGCGCGCGCGTGCACTTCGTTTCCTTTTTCGCGAATTATTCTCGCGGCAGCGCGCGCGCAATGGCGTTCGAACGATTTCGACATGGGCGCGCGCGAATCCCTTTCGGTAGCATTGCATGAGAATGTTGAAAGACCGATGGTTTTCTTAAGAATTCGCAAGAGTGCGCGCAAGTTTGTTTTGCACATCCGCGTTGCGAAACGAAGTGTTTGTTTATGCGTCTTTGGGGCACTCGATTGTTGGAATTATTATGGAACCTCGTGTTGTTCGAAGGATTCTGGCATGCGAGCGGTGGCGCGCGCGTGTGCCCTTGTTTTTTTTTTTTGGGGGGGGGGGGATTTTTGGAAACTAGTGATTTTGGATAAACGAGTGCGTTGCATAGGGGCGTTCGGGTTCGAAATCGTTCCCTGGCCGCGAAGCCTGGGGATTGCCCTGCCGGGAGGGCTGGACAGAGATCCCCCCATGATGCTGGTGTAAAGTGTCTAGGCGCATATTGACGTACTTGGGGGGAAGGCGAAGCCTTTCGGATGAGTGTCGATCTGGCGCCCAGCTGCGCCAGCCGGTCCCTGAGAAACGCGCGTGCCTGGCTGGGTGGCCCGCGCGTGCGGGCTGAGCGGTGCGCAACTTCCTGGGGCTGATTCTGTCGCGGATTGGAAGTGGCACCTGCGAGGTATGGGTTGTGCGGCAGGAGGCTAACTGCCGCAGGGTAGTCAGAGAGCGAGCGGGAAAGAAAGCGTGGGGGAGAGAGAGAGAGAGAGAGAGAGAGAGAGAGAGAGAGAGAGAAAGAGAGCATGAGGGAGCTGCTTTTTCGATTGGGGTTCGCGCTGGTTTCGGATTCGCCGTGCATGTCGATGTGTATATTGCCGCAGGCTCCGCATTCCCGCTGGCGCGTGGGTCTGCTCGCTTGTCTTCGCGTGTCTTGTGGCCCGCGCGGCCGGCGTCCCAACTGATGTCCGCGTCGCGCTCTTTGCCAGGCACCGAGCTCGTTCTTTGCGCAGGCGGTCCACTCCCGTGCATCCGAACAGGTGCTCGGGGTTTGAGTCGGGCTCGGGGTGTCGCGTCCCCGCGAAGCTGATGTGTTCGGCCCGCGTTTTTTTTTTTTTTGGTTTGTCCCCCCCCCCCCGCCCATCTGCGGGCGGGGCCCGCGCCGCGTTGTGTTCGTTATTCATTCATCTTCCCTGCCGCCCAAGTGCGGCTGGGCCGCGCGCTCGTTCGGACCCCAATTCCCGAGGCACGTCGCCGGCGCGGGGTGGAAGGGGGTTCCCTGGCCGCGAAGCCTGGGGACTTACTTGCCAGGAGGGGTGGCCAGAGATTGCAGAGGATGGCGGGGGGGGGGGGGCGATGCCGGCTTGGCTCGGATGGCGCGAATTCATATTTAGGATGGACCATGGGGCAGAATCTCATGTAAATTGCAGCACGAAAAGATGAGTGGATAATCCCTAGGGGGGAGGTGGGGTCTATTCTCCTTTAAGGGAGGAGAATCAATGTGGTGCAATCTACGTTGCACAAGTAATTCATTTTGCCGAACATGCAGTTGTCGACTCCAGTTCTCGCGAAATCACCCCACCCGCGCCCCCGCAACTTGGTTTGCAAAACCCACGCGGAAGCGGCCGCGCTACAATATATGCAAAGCAATATGTGGCACAATTTACGCTGCAATTCATTTGCTCAACTTGCAGCTGTCCGCTCCACTGCTCGCGCAAACGTCCCGCCCACCCACCCGCAACTTGGATTGCAAACCTGATGCGGAAGTGATGGCGATGAGTGCTTGGCGTTGGCTGGTGTATCTCCTGCGGCCGCGCTGGCCCGCGCATGCTCGCGCCCGCAGCGGCCAGCTAGTTTGGCGCGACCGACGCAGCCGCGATGGCGCTGACCGCTGGGCGCATTCCGGTGGGCACCTCGCTGCGAGTCGGCGACTTGGGCGGGCGCGGTATCATGGCAACATCGACAACGGTAGACGCGATGGTGATCGTAGCGATGCTGGTGAAGATGCTGACGACGACGACGGCGCCGCCGGCGCGGGCGCCGATGCTTATCGCGCCGACGACGATGGCGGCGTCTTCGCGTCGGTGATTAAGGCTCTGGATAGAATTCAACGCGCGCGCGGCCGGCGCGTGACAGTGGCCCGCGTGGTATTATTCGACGTGGATCGTGCCCCCCCCCGCGCGCGCGCAAGGGCGCTCGAGTGGTTTCGGCGCGCGGCGCCCCGGGCCCGCTTGGCAGAAAATCGTGTGCACGTTGAAGAACGTGTGGTTTTCCCGAAAGGGCTTGCAAGAGCGCGAGCGCGCGCGCGTTTTTTGTTTGTTTGTTTGTTTGTTTTGTTGTTTTCTTTTTTTATGGTTTTCTTTTGTTGCAACCTAGTTTTTTCTGTTTTGAATTCGTTGCGTACCCCGGCGTGTTTGACGGATGTCGGCATGCGCGCGCGACGACGCGCGCGTTCACATCGTTTCATTTTTGTTGCGAAGAATTCTCGCGACGGCGCGCGCGCAAGGGCGTTCGAACGATTTCGACGTGCGCGCGCGAAGCCTGCTTGGTAGCCTTCCGTGAACTTGTGGGAAAGCCGGTGGTTTACTAGAGAATTCGCAAGGGTGCGCGCGCAATTTTTTCTTGAAAGCCCGTGTTGCGAATCCGTGTGTACATGCACACACATATATATTATATATATATATATATATATATAATATATATATATAAAAAAAAAAATGTCACTTTATTTTGGGAGCCTTACGGGACCGACGGTTTTTGAAGGATTTCGGCGTGCGCGCGCGACAACGCGCGTGTGCGCACTTCATTTCAGTTTTTTGGTTGCAATGGATTTCCGACATCTGATGGTTTTTGAACAACGAATGTGTGCGCATATTTTTTGGCAGAGGATGGTGGGGAGGGGGGGTTGATGCTGGCTCGGCTGGGATGGCAGGACGTCATATTTCGAATGGGCGATGGGGCAAGATCGTATGAACATTGCAATGCGGAAAAGGGGGGCGGATAATCCGTGGGGGGCTATTGATACAATATATGCAAAGCAATATGTGGCACATTTTACGTTGAAATTCGTTTGCTCAACTTGCAGCTGTCCACTGCACTGCTCGCGCAAAGGTCCCACCCACCCGCAACTTGGATTGCAAACCTGATGCGGAAGCGATTGCGATGAGTGCTTGGTGTTGGCTGGTGCATCTCTGCGGCCACGCTAGCCCGCGCATGCTCGCGCCCGCAGCGGCCTGCTAGTCTGGCGCGACCGACGCGAACGCGTCGGCGCCGACCTCTCGGCACGTTCCAGTGGGCACTTCAATGCGAGTCGGCGACTCGGGCGGGCGCGGCATCATGGCAACGTCGACAACGGTAAACACGATGATGATCGTAGCGATGCTGGTGGCGATGCTGACAGCGACGACGGCGCGGTTAGTGCGGGCGCCGATGCTGATCACGCCGACGACGATGACGGCGTCTTCGCGTCGGTGATGAAGGTTTTGGAAGGAGTTCGACATGCGCGCGCGGCCGACGCGTGAGAGTGGCCCGCGTGGTATTCTTTGACACGGATCGTGCCACCCCAGCACGCGCGCAAGGGCGTCCGAACGATTTCGACATGCGCGCGCGAAGCCCGTTTGGTAGTATTTTGGAACAGTGTTGAAAACTTCTGATTTCCTCACGAAGTCGCCACGAAGTCGCAAGAACGCACGCGCGCAAGTGTTTTTAGAAATCCGTGTTGCGAAGCCCGGTGTGTTCATATATATATATATATATATATATATGTTTTCTGGACACTCGATTTTGAAGTCTTTCCGACACCGAAGGTTTTTGAAGGATTTCGGCATGCGAGCGCGACGACGCGCGCGTGTGCACTTGGTTTTTTGTTAGGGATTGTTGACAACTTGCGGTTTATGATAAACGACTGTGCGCGCATGGTGTGTTCTTGAAGAGGATGGCGGGGTGGTGGTGGTGGTGGTACCAGTTTGGCGGGCATAGTATGAATTCACAGTTCGGATGGACGATGGGGCAGAATCGTATGTAAACTGCAATACGACAGCGTGAAGCTTTAACCCCGGGGGGGAGGGTGGTATAACATATTTTTTAAAAGAAAAGAGAATGTAAGACCGCCAATCAAGCCCGTACGACGGGAGGCGAGGCGGCGACGGGGCGGCGAGAGCGACCACGGAGTCGCGGGACCGCCACGCAGGAAAAGAAATTAGAACCACTGTATCCAAAAACTGTTCGGGGAAACTGTCCCCGTCCCCATTGCGCCACGGTGTCTCAGCCCTGCCAGCCCACCCTCTTCGGTGGGGATACGCCACGCGAAGCCCGAACCCACCCTCCTCGGTGGGGATTGGCCCCCCGGAGCCCGAAGGAACGAGCGTATATTCCCACCTCGGTGGGTAAGTCGGCCAGTGGGGCCATGGCCACGCCAGAAGGCATAGGGATAGCTTACATGATGCTCACGGTGCACGGCCTGCGCCGTCCAGAGCTCCAAATGCCGCGTCGCGGCGAGCCTTGGCGGCCTGGTCGCGGCCGGGCGCCGCTGCGGCTGTTGGCCTACGCCAGCGCCGCGCTGCTGGCAGGCGCCGCGGCCGCCTGCGGAGCGTGGGTCCTCCCGGGGGCGCCCGCGCGCCGCCCTGCGGGGCCGCCGCGGATCTGCAGGCCCGCAGCGGTGCGGCGGTGCGCCGCGTTACCGCGCGGCGCCGCCAGCGCCGCCGGCTCGGTGCCGCCGTCGCCGGCGCGGCTGGTGGCCGAGCGGAGGGCGCGGAGGTGGGACGCCCCGCGCTCCTCTTTTCAGCGGCGAGCGATGGGGGGGGAAGTGAGAAGGCCTTCTCAGAAGGCGGCGGGGCTTCTCAGAAGCCCTCGCACCCTCGGAGAGGTGCTCTGTGTCTTCGGGGAAGGCTCGTAGGACACTTTCTCTTCCCACTTCCCCCGTGGGCTCGCCGCCGAGAGGTGGGACGCCCTGCGCTCTTCTCTGGATTGGACCCGGTACCACCTGGACATCCCCGAAGGCCCAAACGGGGTGGCGCGGGCACTCGCCCTCGGAGGCCCGCTCGGCTCTGCTCGTGTCGGCGCTGGGCCCCCTCTCCGCACGGAGCCTCCGCGCGGACCTCCGGCAGCTTGTGCTTGGCACAGCAGGTGTGGCAAGTAATTGAGAGACCAGCCTGCCAGCAGGAACCCCACGGAAACTCCTTGTTCCCCGATGGCCCTGCGGACCCGCAGAAGCCTTGGGACACCCAAGGGCGCCGAGAGACCTCCGACAAACGGGCCCCCTAGCAGGCACACTGTTCCGTCGATTTTGGACTTCGCGGGATGCCTCAGAGCTCCAAAGGGGGGCCTGGCGTCGCCGGGGGAAACAAGCAGGCATCTCCGTGTGGCACCTGCGGGCAAGCCCGTTTCCTATTTGGCGTGCCCGCTGTGTGCTTGGTAGCCGTCTGAGCGTCCCTTCTTCCTCTCGTCGGCCTCCCCCCTCCCTCCGTGCACGCTGGCCAATTCGCAAGTTGGTGCCCCTACCTGGCTGTTCAAAAATAGTCAAAGAATAGTCAGGGTTTTTTTTTCTCCCAAAGACAAGCGTATTTACATTTAAGGATACTACTTGAATATTTAATCACCTCACTCATTCCGCCGGCCCTTATTGTCGCACCTCTGTCGATTTGGGGGTATATTCCTGAGGGGGTCGCAGTGACTGGATTTGGTTTCGGGGGTTCGTCGCAGATTCTGGCGGGGTTGTCCTGGGGCAATCGTAAGTAGGTGATCACGGGTCTGATCGGTAATTTGCTTGTGTCGGTGAGGGGTTGATGATTCTGAATGGTCGCAGTGAGGCCATGTCGCAGATCGGAGGTATTCGTCGCAAGTTTGAGCCTTTCCGTTTTGGAGGGTGGCGGCTTGTGAATGTGACCGCAGGAAGAGGAGGAGGAAGAGGAGGAGGAGGACGAGGAGGATAGTGAGGAGGAGGAGGAGGATGATGAGGAAGAAGAGGAGGAGGGGGAGGAGGAGGAGGAAGAGGAGGATGAGGAGCAGGAGAAGATGAAGCCTCTTGGGCCGTCTTGGCGGTCTATTGGGCCGTCTTGAGGCCATCTTGGGCGGCATGGGACGGGAGCGGGTGGGTCCTGCAGGGAAAGGGGCGCCTGGCAGGATCCATTTCGATCCGATTCGAGGTTCTAAGTGTTCGAGGCTCTCTAGGAGGGCCTGCTGCCTCTTGAGGCTCTCTTGGGGCTTCTTGGCGGCGTCTTGGGCCGTCTGGGGGCCGTCTTGGGCGTCTTGGGACGATCTTGCGGGTCGGCAAGCTAGGAAGTTCAATTCGAGTTCCCTCGATGGGGCCCCTCTTAGGGCTGTCTTGGGCTGTCCAGGGGGCCTCGTGGGCCGTCTCGGGGCCTTCTTGGATCGTGTTGGGCCCATGTTGGGAGTCTGTTGGGCCGTCTTGGGGCGACCTTGAAGGTCTCTTGGGCAGTGTTGGTCGCGCTGGACCTCGAAACGTCGTATTGGGCAAGATGTATGTTTTCCTATGGGAACGGGGCACTTTTTGCCTGTTGAGGCTCCCTAGGAGAGCCTCTTGAGGCTCTCTTGGGGCTTCTTGGTGGCATGTTTGGCCGTCTGGGGACAATCTTGGGCGTCTTGGGACGCTCTTCCGGGTCGGCGAGCTTGAGAGTTCAATTCGTGTCTCTCCGATGGGGCTCCTCTTAGGGCTGTCCTGGGCTGTCCAGGGGGCCTCGTGGGCCTTTTCGGGGCCTTCTTGGGCCGTGCTGGGCCCATGTTGGGAGTCTGTTGGGCCGTCTTGGGGCGATCTTGAAGGTCTCTTGGGCAGTGTTGGTCGCGCTGGACCTCGAAACGTCGTATTGGGCAACATGTACGTTTTATGCAAGGAATGGGAGACTTTTTGCTTGTTGATGCTCCCCAGGAGAGCCTCTTGAGGCTCTCTTGGGGCTTCTTGGCGGCGTCTGGGGCCGTCTGGAGGCCATCTTGGGCGTCTTGGGGCAATCTTGCGTGTCGGCAAGCTGGAAAGTTCAATTCGTGCTTCCCCGATGGGCCCCTCGTAGGGCTGTCTAGGGCTGTCCAGGGGGCCTCGTGGGCCGTCTTGGGGCCCTCTTGGGCCCTGTTGGGCCCATGTTGGGAGTGTTGGGCCGTCTTGGGGCGACCTTGAAGGTCTCTTGGGCAGTGTTGGTCGCGCTGGACCTCGAAACGTCGCTTATGCGCAAAATGTACGTTTTCCTACTGCTTGTTGAGGCTCCCTAGGAGAGCCTCTTGAGGCTCTCTTGGGGCTTCTTGGCGGCGTGTTGGGCCGTCTGGCGGCGACCGAGCGCGCCTCGGACCGTCTCGAGCACGTCACGGGGCTCTCTTGGAGCGTTCCTGGGGCGCTCGGGAAGGCCGGGGAAGGCAGCGCCGAGGAGGAACACCATCTCTGGGTCTCACCTTGCTGGGACCTGGCCGGGTACTTTTCGTTCGGGGGCCCCCACGCGGGCGAACTAGAAAATTGTAAACCAGTTGCCGGAGTTCTTAGCACGCCTCTGGCCTGTTGGGCCGGCGAATTTTTTTGACTCTTTTATTTCTCGTCCAACATCGGCCTGTAGGGGGACGTGCCCGACCGAATGGTCGCTGTTTCGGCCTTCGGACGTCGTGTTCCTCGAGGGGGAGGGCACGGGCGACTCGCGGAGGGCCGCCGAGCTCTTCGAGCAGGTGGCCCGCTTCCACAGCTGCGCCGGCGCGCTGCCCGCCGTGCTCGGGACCACGGGGCCCCCCGTGCCGGCGCTGCAGGGGCCGGGGGCCGGCGGGCTGGAGATCGGCTACCTCGGAGGGGGGCCCGTCGAGACACCTTCGGGCGATGGCAAACATGGATTGGGAGAGGGGGGAGGAGGAGTAGGACGAGGAGGTGGAGCGAACGGAGGAGGAGGAAGAGGAGGAGGAGGAGGAGGAGGAGGAGGGAGCAGGGAGAAGGGAGGAGGCGGGAGAGGGATGGACCATGCCCCTCATCAGGACCTGTTTTTTTTGGGGGGGATGCGAGGTGCTCACGAGTGCGCGTTCGCCTCCAGACTCCCCCGCCCAGGCGATCGCAAACACGGATTGAGGGGGCGTGGCTTAGCGACGGGTCCCGTTTCCATGGGAAGCCGCGGACTTCCGCCGCCGAGCGAGGCGGCGCGGGCCTCATGTTGGGGAGGGCACCTCCTCCGATGCATGGGTCTGGCGACCGCGCGCCAGATCCATGGATCGCCAGTCCACGTTTGCGGGCCCGTCGAGGCACGCGGCGGCCCTCCCGGACTTCCCCTCGCCTTAGGATGTTCCAACCTACGTCAGCCTTGACTCCCAGGAAGAGCTTCGAGCACAGTAGAAAAGTACCGAAACGCGGGGGCTTTCGCGCGTGGGGCCCTGGGGAGACACATGCCCGACACTGTCTCGACGCTCTTCCGACACTCCTTCCGCACTTTTCCGTGATTGCTCGCAATTATTTTTGGGATGTGCCGAGGGCGGCAAAGAGGGGGGTGATGACTAGGGGGGGTGGATATCGTGGCGGGGGCCATGATATTTCCCCAGATCTCAGGGCGCCTCTTCTTATTTCATGACGTCCCTGGCCCCCCCGCTGGGCCGCGCACATGCCGCCGGTCATGCTTTGCACCCCCCCCCTCTTGGACACCCCCTCTTGGCCGCTCCCGAATGTGGCCCTCGAGTCGGATGGGAGCAACATGGCCCTCGTCGCCGGGGTCGCGGCGGGGGGCTCCAGGGCCGTTTTCGGCCTCCCTGGCGCGTCCCGCCCTCTCCTCCCAGAGTTGAGTCGGGCCTGTCCCTCTACAGAGGGAAAATGCAGAAATAGTAAAAAAGAATAGTCCAGGGGCTCTTTTCTGAGTATTTTTTGTGGGCCTCTCCTGAGCATTGTTTGGGGTATGCTTTTGATTCGTCGTCCAAAATATCCCCCCCTCTGTAGGGGGACAGGCCCGACCTAGGCCTGGAGAGGCGTGTCCCAGAGCGCCACGGCGGGGCGTCCGCCCCGCAGGAGGCGGGGCCAGGGCGGGCCCCACACGGAGGGGGGGCCCCACGAGGGCGGGCCCCACCCCTCGGGAGTCGTGGGGGGTGGGAGGCTCTTTTGTTTCAGGGCCCGGCGATGACCCCAGACCTCCGACGTCGCGAGAAATTCACGACGAAGGTTGTCGACAACTTTCGGCCTCTGGAGGCCCTCGCCGGGCCTCGGGAGCGTCAAAAGCGATTCGGGATGGAAAACCGGCCCCAGGGAAGGTCTTCATACTTCGGGGGGCCGACGTCGTGAGTTTCTCACGACGTCGGGGGTCTGGGACCCGGGTTACCTGGCCTGCCCCCCCCCCCCCAGCTCCCCAGGATAAGCTAACCTTTCGGGTTGTGCAGGTCCGGGGTGGGGGGGCGCGGGCATATGCAGAGCTTTCCACAGCCCGAAGGTTTATCGGCTGGTCTCCTCCTCCCCCCCGGATAACCCGGGTTATCGCCGATTCAAAAAACAAAAAGGTCGCTGGGGGTGCACGTCGGTCATTTCTAATCGTGCTCATTTCTAACTGTGCTCGTTTCTACTTGCTCCTGGCCCCCCAGCGGCCAGGAAGAGACCCAGGGTAGCACAATCAGAAACGAGAGGATCCTGGCCCCCCAAAAAATTCAAGGAACTCTCGAAGAATTAGACATGAACAACGCGCAGGGTTCCCATTGTGGCCCCCCCGCCCCGGGAGGGGTGGGCCGATTCTTGAGCGGCTCTGGGCTGGGCTGGGGGTGCCGTGGCGCAGTCTCGCCTGGCCCTCCTCCGGGTTCCCAGTGGCTGGATGCCGAGGCCGAGGTTCGGTCCTCCTCCTCCTCCCCCTCCTCCTCCTCCTCCTCCTCCTCCTCCTCCTCCTCCTCCTCCTCCTCCTCCCCCTCCTCCTTCTCCCCCCTCCTCCCCCTCCCTCCCTCCTCCTCCGCCTCCTCCTCCTCCTCCTCCTCCTCTTCCTCCTCCTCATCTTCCTCCTCTTCCTCCTCCTCCTCCTCCTTCTTCTCCTCCTCCTCCTCCTTTTTTTCTTCTCCTCTCCCTCCTCCTCCTCTCGTCCTCCTCCTCCTCCTCCTCCCTCCTCCTACTCCTCCTTCCTCCTCTCTCCTCCTCCTCTCCTCCTCCTCCTCCTCCTCTCCTCCTCCTCCTCCCACCTCTCCTTCTCCTCCTCCTCCTCCCCTCCTCCTCCTCCTCCTCCTCCTCCTCCGCCTCATCCCCCTGTCGGGCCGGACGAAAGGGGGGGATTGGGAAAGGGGGGGTTACGAACTTTGCTGCGTGCAGCTGGTTTCGGCCCCACCGAGGGGCCCATTCCTCGATGCATAGCCGCCTCCGGCGCCGGGAGGCGCCGGGAAAATCAGCTACGCGAGCTGATTCTCAAACCCCGCTTTGGCGAACCCCCCTTTCGCCCGGCCCGAGAGGTGTACGGGGCACGGGATCTGAGGCACTACGACGTGGCGGTCTGCGTGGACGGCGGAGCGGCGGAGTCCCTGCGGGGCGAGCTCGCCCGCGCGGGCGAGGATCCGTACCCGCCCAGCATCGTTGAGCTCGCAGACTTCGGGGCGTACCTGGAGATGCGCCGGCCGGAGTCGCCGATGAAGGCCTGGGTGCCCGATCTCGAGGAGCCCTGAAAGACTGCACACGCATACACTGGATCGCGGGCCCGCTCTGATTTCTTGGATCTGCGCTGGGGCCCCCCAGGCGGCGCCTCTGGCGCCGATCCAATCAATCCGCGCGGAGCTCCGAAAGTTCATGTGTATGCCGTTTTCTGTTCCTTGGCGATTGGCGCGCTGTCATCGACCCCGGGTACGACGAGCGCCAGGCGGGGGCCACCGCCCCTCTGGACGACGCGCTCGCAGTGTGGAAGGAGCTGCCAGAGGAGTTGGCCCAGCTCATCCAGCCGCACTACGAGGCGATCACTTCGCTTGTGGTCAGCAGCGATGCGCAGGATGGGGCTGCGAGCCGATCCTCGCGTGATGCCCGTCTCGCGTTTCACGCGGGCGGGCTGGTGCGGTTCCTGATGGACACGTACCCGCTGGACCTGCAGGGGGGTCCTGGCTATTGTGGGCCACCTTGAGTCTGGCCGAGCACGCCTATCCCCTTCGTGCTGAGGGTGGCATGGTGAGCAGGGTCGAGCTGAAGCCGAGATGTGTGAGCGCTGCAGTTCCCCCCCCCCTCTTCGTTCTCCTCGTCCGCCTCCCTCCCCCCTCTCTCCCTCCTCCTCAGGCCTGCCTCTTCGGAGGCAGTCCACCGCACTACTCCTAGCCCTCCCTCCCTCCCTCCCTCCCTCCACCTCCCCTCCTTCCCCTTCGCAGAGCGTGATTTTTTGTGGGGTGCGTCTTCGCTCCGTTCGAAGCTGGTGCGCGCTGGCCTGGTGCGCAGTGGCACCGCCACGGCAGACCGCAGCGCTCACTTGAAGAATGCCAGGGGCCGTGCATGGTTGGCTCCCCCTCGGCGTAGTTCCCTCCTTCCTCCTTCCTTATTTCTGGCGTTGCTGTTGCTGGAAGGGAAAAAACGACATGAACATAAACTGTCGAAGCTCCGCGCGGATTTCTTGGATTGCGCTGGGCCCCCCTGGCGGCGCCTCAGGCGCCGCCTCTGGCGCGCACCGCGCGCCAGGGAGGGGGGGCCCAGCGCCGACCTAATCAATCCACGCGGAGCTCCGAAAGTTCATGTTTATGCAGTTTTTTGTTCCTCCAGTTGCCGACCGCTCGAATTCAGCACGTGTGCCGCAGGCACTTTTTAAGCGTGTGACCGGTCTGCCCAGGCGCCCACGCGCCATCAACGGCCCCGCCTTTTGTGGCCGATCAGCGGGCCGTTCGTTTGTTCGTTCACTCGGTCGTCTTGAGTCGCGGGCGAATTCGGCCCTTGTCCAATCAAAGTTTGTCTCGTTGCGTCTCGTTTTCCGTAGCTGTCTCGGCAGCCCTATTTTTCGAGCCTTTCGCCCTGGACGCTCTGGCAGTTCGTGCTGCAGATGTGTCCTGGAGAGGAGACCCCCCACCGCCTCCACCTCGCAGGCCCAAGCTCGTTCCCCAGGGAGACACCTCCGCCTCTACCTCCTCAACTTCCTGTTACTACTCCAGCACCCTCTCCTCCTTGTCCTCGCTTCTTCTTCTCAGCAGCAGCAGCAGCAGCAGCAGTCACTATTTCCATCACCATCACCATCACCATCACCATCACCATCCCCATCCCCATCCCCATCCCCACCCATATCCCCATCCCCAGCCCTAGCCCCATCAGCATCAGCATCCGCATCAGCATCAGCATCAACGTCAGCATCAAAATCAGCATCGGCATCAGCATCAGCATCAGCATCAGCAACAGCATTATCATCAGCATCAGCATCAGCAGCACCCCACCACGACCACTATCATCATCAGCATCAGCATCATCATCAATAGCAGCATCAGCAGCATCATCATCATCATCACCATCATCATCACCATCATCATCATTATCATCATTATCATCATCAGCAGCAACAGCAGCATCATCATAATCAGCATCAACACCACACTTGTCCTCGTCATCATGATCATCATCCTCGTCATCCTACTGCCGAACTTTGCAAGCCCGCCCAACTCCTAGAGAGGGGGAGGGCGGAGGGGGCAGGATAAGCCTAGGATGCACCGATGATGCGGCAATGCGCAAGGCCCTTCCTCATAAACCAGCGCAGATTATACGCCTCCGTTGCAGCGCACGCCCACTGGGTAGATCGGACCCCTATGCCTCCGCACGGTGGCGTTATTGAATGAACAAATTGCGCATCAGCGATTCTACCGATACTGAGGCGCGAAGCTTGACGGCCAAGACGCTGACATACATACTTTCTGGGGCCCAAGAGAGGTTCGGTTGTTCGGGCCGTTCCGTAGATCTTGGTCGGGAACCTATTCGTGGCCGAGGCTTGTTTGCCCCCTCGTTTCGTTTCTCATTCAGCGTTATTGCGGCAGTACGATGGCTGTACGACAGACTTAGTCTGTACGACAGACTCAGGCTGAGAGCCATCCGTTTCCCAACGGTACACGCAGCAGATGCTTCGAGAAGTGGGCGGCGCCGGAGAGGTAACACGATTCCGAGAACGCGCCACGCGTCCTGCTTCCGCCCCAGGTCCTGCCCCCCCCCTCTCCGCAGGTCTCTGGATGCCCCAGGGGGGCTCCTGGAGGCCTCCTGGAATCCGATGCGCACCAAGCACGTCCAGGCACGCCCCGAGAGCGCTCAGGGAGCCCCCCCTCCGATCCTCGAGGTCTCCGCGCCGAACAACTCCGTGGTGGACGCCAACGATGCCAACAGCGCGCCGAAGAGGACTGTTGACAAGGCGACCGCCGCCGCGAGAAGGACTATGGTGACGATGATGAAGAGTGTGGACTAAGCGGCTGAGTATGTGATCATATGCTGATAGTGAAGATGGTGCTCCTGATGCTGCTGTTGATGATGACGCTGATGCCGATGCTGCTTCTGCCGACGATGGTGTTGACGTTGGTGGTGATGGTGATGGTGATGCTGATGATGCTGACGATAATGGGGAGGAGACGGAGCATGATGGACAGGAGAGTATTCGAGGAGGGCCGTACGAAGAGGGGGAGGAGCAGGAGGAGGAGCATGATGAGGAGGAGGCATGAGGAGGAGGAGGGGGAGGAGGAGGAGGAGGAGGAGCCGGGATGATAATGACGATGAAGACGATGCTGACGACGATGGTGATGCTGATGATGGTGAGGCTGTTGCTGCTGCTGCTGATGATGCTGCTGATGATGATGATGATGATGATGATGATGATGATGATGATGATCATGACGATGCTGGTGCTGCTGCTGCTCATGATGATGATATTGATGATGCTGCTGCTGATAATAAACATGAGTATGATGCTGATGCTGATCATGCTGATGATGCTGATGATGATGATGGTGATGCTGATACTGACGATGATGAATAAACTGTTGCTGCTCATGATGACGATGTGGATACTGCTGCTGCTGCTGATGATGCTGATGATGATGATGACGATGCTGATACTGCCATTGATGATGATACTTATACTGCTGATTATGACGATCCTGCTGATGCTGATGCTTGTGCTGATGATGATGCAGATGCCGATGAGGATGATGATGATGATGATGATGATGATGATGATGATGATGATGATGAGGATTAGCATGGTGATGATGATGGTGATGCTGATTCGGATGCTGATTATAACGATGCTGATTATGCTGCTGGTGATGCTGCTGATGATGATGCTGATGATGATCCAGTTGCTGCTGCTGATGACGACGATGATAAGGTTGACGATGATGATGCTGATTATGCTGGTGGTGGTGATAATGCTGATTATGCTGGTGATGCTGATGATGCTGATGCTGATGCTGATGCTGATGATGACGGTGATGATGACGATGCTGATGATGATTATGCTGATGCTGATGATGCTGATGCCGATAGTGATGTTGATGCTGATGATGCTTGTGTTGATGTTGATGCTGATGGTGATGCTGCTGACGATGCTGATTTTGATTATGATGCCGCTTCTGCTGCTGACCGTGCTGATGACTATGGCGATTCTGATCCTGATGATGCTGATGCTGATGCTGATGATGTTGACGCTGATGATGATGCTGCTCCTGATGATGATGCTGATGCTCATGCTGCTAATGATTATGAAGCTGATGATGCGGACGCTGATGATGATGCTCCTGATCATGATGATGACGATGATGATGCTGATGATGCTGATGTTGCTGATGATGATTCTGATCTGATGCTGCTGATGATGATGACGCTGATGCTGATGCTGCTGATGATGCTGATGCTGATGCTGCTGATGATGGTGACGATGAAGATGATGACGATGCTGATGATGATGCTGAGTTATGACGATGGTGATGCTGATGACGACGATGAGGATGACGAGGACGAGGACGAGGATGAGGAGGAGGAGACGGAGGAGGATGAGGAGGAGGAGGAGGAACGGGACGATGATGATGATGAGGAGGAGGAGGAGGAGGCGGAGGAGGAGGAGGAGGAGGAGGAGGAGGAGGAGTACGAAGACACTGTAAGAGGAGGGGGAGAAGAAGGAGAAGGAGGATGAAGAGGAAGATAAGGCAGGTGTAGGTGGCAGGAGGAGTAGACAGTAGGATGAGACGGAGTGGGAGAAGGAGGAGGAGGAGGAGGAGGAGGAGGAGGAGGAGGAGGGGGAGAAGGAGGATGGGGGAAGAGGAGGAGAACTGGAGGAGGCACGCTTGAGGAACGGAGGAGGAACGGAGCAGGAACGGATGATGTTGTTGTTGATGATGATGATGTTGATGATGACGACGATGATGTCGACGACGATGCTGATAATGATGATGTTGCTGCTGGTACTGATGATGCTGCTGCTGATGCTGATGATGAGGATGCTGCTGATGATGATGATGCTGATGCTGATTCTGATGACGATGCTGTTGCTGCTGATGATGATGCTGCTGATGTTGATGATGAGGATGCTGCTGGTGACGATGATGATGCTGATGATGCTGCTGATGCTGCTGCTGATGATGATGATTGTGATGGTCATGATGATGACTCTGCTGTTGATGATGATGTTGATGCTGATATTGATGCTGATGCTCATATTGATACTGGTGATGCTGTTGATGACGATGCTGATGCTGATGCTGATGCTGATGATGATAACGATGACGATGGCAATGATGATGATGACGACGATGACCATGATGATGATGCTGATGATGATGATGCTGATGATGATGATGATGGTAATGATGATGATGCTGATGCTGATGTTGATGACGATGATGATGATGATGATGGTGATGATGATGATGCTGATGTTGATGATGATGACGACGGTATTGCTGATGATGATGACGATGACGACGACGAGGCTGATGGTGATGATGATGATGCTGATGATGATGATGCTGATGATTATGATGATGATGGTGGTTCTGATGATGCTGATGATGTCGATGACGATGGTGATGACGGTGATGATGGTGACGCTGATGATGATGATGATGATGCTGCTGATGATGATTATGATGATCATGATGCTGCTGCTGCTGATGATGATGCTGATGATGATGAGATGATGATGATGATGATGATGATGATGATGATGATGATGATGCTGATGATGATGATGATGATGATACTGATGATGATGATGATGATGATGATGATGATGATGATGATGATGATGGTGGTGGTGATGATGCTGCTGCTGCGATATGATGATGAATGATGATGATGATGGATGATGATGCTGATGATGATGATTGATCTGCTGCTGATGCTGCTGATGATGATGATGGTGGTGATGATGCTGCTGCTGTTGATGATGATGATGGTGATGGTGTATGATGATGATGATGATGATGATGATGAATGATGATGATCTGATGATGATGATGATTGATGATGATGATTATGATGATGATGATGATGGATGATGATGATGATGATGATGATGATGATGATGATGATGATGATGATGATGATGATGATGATGAGGAGGAGGAGGAGGAGAGGAGGAGGAGGAGGGGAAAGGAAGGAGGATGAGAGATGAGGATGATGATGATGAGGATGAGGATGAGGATGAGGAGTGAGGAGGAGGAGGCGGAGGAGGAGGAGGGAGGAGGAGGAGGAGGAGGAGGAGGGGAGGAGGAGGAGGAGAGGAGGAGGAGGGAGGAGAGGTTGAGAGGAGAGGAGGAGGAGGAGGAGGAGGAGGAGGAGGAGGAGGAGGAGGAGGAGAGGAGGGGAGGAAGAAAGTAGGAGGGAGGCGGAGGAGGAGGAGGAGGAGGAGGAGGAGGAGGAGGAGGAGGAGGGGACGAGGAGGAGGAGGAACCTCCCCCGTACTCGCCCAGATGGACAACATCTACGGTATGACTCAGTACTACCAGATGAAAGGCCTCCTGGTGAAGACCGTCGGGGCTGCAATGGTCTTGGAGGCCAAACGCCGCCGTTCTCCGTCGTCCCGGGCGCGTTGGGTGGGGGAGGGAGGTGGGGAGCAGGAGGGAGGGAGGGAGGGAGGGAGGGAGGAAGGGAGGCACGGGGGCAGGGACGGAGGGAGGGAAAGAGGGAGGGAAGGATGAAAAGGAGGAGGAGGAGGAGGAGGGAGGGGAGGAGGAGGAGGAGGAGAAAGAGGAGGAGGAGGAGGAGGAAGGAGAGGAGGAGGAGGCGGAGGAGGAGGAGAGGGGAGGAGGAGGAGGAGGAGGAGGAGGAGGAGGAGGAGGGAGGAGGAGGAAGAGGAGGACTATGAGGAGGAGGAGGAGGAGGAGGAGTAGTAGTAGGAGGAGGAGGAGGAGGAGAGGAGGAGGATGAGGAGGAGGCGGAGGAGGAGGAGGAGGAGAAGGAGGAGCAGGAGGGGGAGGAGGGCAGGAGGGGGAGGATGAGGAGGGGGCGAGGAGGAGGAGGAGGAGGAGGAGAGGAGGAGGAGAGGGAGGAGGAGGAGGAGGTGGATCACTGACCAAACTGCCAGGTCAGCGAGCGGGCCGCCATTGAGCAGTCCCTCGGGGCCGTTGGCCGCATTTGGGACTGCCTTGGGGAGACCCCAACTCGCAGCCTGTTTATGGGGGATGCTAGCGAGGTCCCGCCCTGGCTAGCAGCCCCACATCGAAAGCAAGCTTGGGCTACCAGCCCTGGGACGGGGGAGGAGGAGGTAGAGAGGAGAGCGCAAGGGGGGGGGGCAGTGGGAGCCGGCGGGAACCGAAGGGGGAAGGGGGGGCAGACGAGGCGGGGGAGAGCGAGATGGCGTCCGGCCTCTGGAGAGCTGGGCGGTCGGGTTGGGACTGTCTTGGGTTAGAGAAGGGATGTGGGGACGGGAGCGCTTCGTTGGTGGCTACGCCTTAGCAATCTGGACCCAGCCTACATGGATCCCCCTAATGTTGGCAATATCTTGCCTACCTAGTGCGGCGTGCTACCAGAACTCAAGGCTTATGTGTTGAGTCGGGCAAGCCGAAACAACGGACCGCAGGCTAGATGGGTATGCGCAGCATAGCCGTAGCCCACAGTCCTAGCAGAGTTCCAGTGTGGACGGCACTAGTCTTGCCTACCTAGTGCTGCCTGCCACCCAAACTCCAGCCTTATTTGTTGAGTCGGGCCAGCCGAAACAACGGACCGCAGGCTAGATGGGCACGCGAAGCATAGCCGTAGCCCACAGTCCTGGCAGAGTTCCAGTGCGGACGTCACTAGCCTTACCTGCCTAGTGCGGCTTTCTGCCAGAACTCCAGCCTTGTTTGTTGAGTCGGACCAGCCGAAACAACGGACCGCAGGCAAGATGAGTATGCGAAGCGTAGCCGTAGCCCACACTCCTGGCAGAGTTCCAGTGCGAAAGGCGCCAGCCTATACAGCCGCGCTGCAACGGACGTCAGGACGCCTGTCATGATATGACAGGTTGTGCTCCTCGACCCGAGATGGCTGGGTATGCCGGAAGACCCCCCCCAAGTGGTTGAGGGGCGAGCCTGGCCTGTAGGGGATCCGGCTACTACCCCTGAGCTGGGCAGGCCGGGACAAGGGGTGCCGAACTTAAAAAGATATCCCCACCCCCTAAGTTCTGAAACCCGCAAGGATGGAGGTGTGGCCCCCAGGAACCAACACCCTGAACGGGGTAACCTCAACCACAAACACCTTCGCCTTCCTTCTGGCGACTGGAGCATGAGTCTAAAAACTTTTAGAGTCACGCAAATTCAAAGGCCTTAGCCTGGGGCCCTAACAGAGTTCCCAATTTCTTGCGTACCTAGTGCGGCGTGCTACCAGAACTCAAGGTTTATGTGTTGAGTCGGGCAAGCCGAAACAACGGACCGCAGGCAAGATGGGTATGCGAAGCATATCCGTAACCCACACTCCTGGCAGAGTTCCAGTGCGAAAGGCGCCAGCCTATACAGCCGCGCTGCAACGGACGTCAGGACGCCTGTCATGATATGACAGGTTGTGCTCCTCGACCCGAGATGGCTGGGTATGCCGGAAGAACCCCCCCAAGTGGTTGAGGGGCGAGCCTGGCCTGTAGGGGATCCGGCTACTACCCCTGAGCTGGGCAGGCCGGGACAAGGGGTGCCGAACTTAAAAAGATATCCCCACCCCCTAAGCTCTGAAACCCGCAAGGATGGAGGTGTGGCCCCCAGGAACCAACACCCTGACCGAGGTAACCTCAACCACAAACACCTTCGCCTTCCTTCTGGCGACTGGAGAATGACTCTAACAACTTTTAGAGTCACGCAAATTCAAAGGCCTTAGCCTGGGGCCCTAACAGAGTTCCCAATTTCTTGCGTACCTAGTGCGGCGTGCTACCAGAACTCAAGGTTTATGTGTTGAGTCGGGCAAGCCGAAACAACGGACCGCAGGCTAGATGGGTATGCGCAGCATAGCCGTAGCCCACAGTCCTAGAAGAGTTCCACTGCGGACGGCGCTAGTCTTGCCTACCTAATGCTGCTTGCCACCATAACTCCAGCCTTATTTGTTGAGTCGGGCCAGCCGAAACAACGGACCGCAGGCTAGATGGGTATGCGTAGCATAGCCGTAGCCCACAGTCCTGGCAGAGTTCCAGGGCGGACGGCGCTAGCCTTACCTGCCTAGTGCGGCTTCCTGCCAGAACTCCACCTTGCAAATACATGTGTGGGGGTTTATCCAGGGAGACAGTTAAGATGCCGAAAGCGCTAAAAAAGGAGGAGGAGCAGGAGGACTACGAGGAGGAGGAGGATGAGCAGGAGGAGGAAGAGGAGGATGAGCAGGAGGAGGAGGAGGAGGAGGAGGAGGAGGAGGGAGGAGGAGGAGGAGGAGGGAGCAGGAGGAGGAGGAGGAGGAGGAGGAGGAGGAGGAGGAGGAGGAGGAGGAGGAGGAGGAGGAGTTGGAGGGAGGGAGAGAGGGAGGGAGGAAGGGATGGAGGGAGAGAGGGAAGGAGGAGGAGGAGGAGGAAAAGGAGGAGGAGGAGGAGGAGGAGGAGGATGAGGAGGAGGAGGAATTGGAGGGAGGCGGAGTAGACAGGAGGAGGGGGGAGGAGGCAGAAGGAAAGAGGAACAGGGTAGAGAAGGGAGGGGAGAGGAGAGAGGACAAGCTGGGTGCACCCCGCCACATCTGGCATCCTGCCACTTCCTCCATGCCTTTCCACTGTGCCTGATCTTTTCCTGCTCCGCCTATCTCCGCCCCCCACGTCAGCCGGAGGCGCAGAAGAAGTCCGTGAAGCGGAACGCCCTGATAGACCGGGTCCTGAAGCAGGACCTGCCCGAACGCATGAGAGAGCTTCAGGACCGGCCTGCTCGTCTTCCTCCCGAGGAGAAAAGAGTTGGGAGGGGGCAAGGCAAAGGGCGGGAGAAGAAGGGGAAATGGGCGGGAGGGGAGCAAGAGAGGAGGGAATAATTGAGAAGGACAAACTATGTGCGCTCGTGCCATGTCTGACATCCTGCCCCTCTCATCCATCCCTTCCCAGTGCGCGGATTTTCTCCATCTGCCGACGGGTGTCATAACGGACCTGGAGCTCTCAAAAGGACACCATCGTATTTTCGTGAGCAGAACGTGGGATCTGTGTACATTGGAAGAGGATGAGCTGGAGGATGAGCAGGAGGAGGATGAGGAGGACGAGGACGAGGAGGAGGATTCGGATAAGGACCAATGTAAACCCAATATGCATCAACGATTTTGGTATAAACCCTCCCTCTAAGCTCCCTCTTTCTAGGCCCCCACAAGTGTTCATGTCCTCTGAGAGAGGTGCCCCGTTGGGAGACAACCGTTTGAAGACCCTGAAGCGTGCCAACACCATTCTCGGGACTGCAACGCCACGAATCAACCTGAATGCTGCGTCTTGGCGATCCTGAATCGTGCCAGAACACGAGTCCTGGCACTTCGACACCGCGAATAAACGTAACTGTTGCGCCCTGGCAGTCCTGAATCGTTCCAAAACACCATTGATGGTACGGTTACCATGGGAACCCGTGAAAACCCTTTGCAAATGTTTAAGACGAACGTGCGCGGCGCTAAGGCGAGAGCCACATTTTGAAAACTTGCTGCCCTGAATCCGTAAAACTCCTGCGATTTGTTACGACGAATGTGCGCGGCGCTGAAGCGAGAGCCAAATTTTGAAAACGACCCGCCTTCCATCCTTGAAACGCTTGCAAATTTTTGAGACGAGTGTGCGCGGCGCTCAGGCGAGAGCCACATTTTGGAAGCGACCCGACCTCTACCTGTGAGACTGTTGCCCATGTTTAAGCTTCAGGATCATACATGGTAAGGAAGTCTCAGGCGAAACGCCTGGACCTCCCTTCCGACTGGCCTCTGGGTGCGACAGGGAGGAGTTATTTTTAAGGAAAAGAAATCGAGCAGGAAGGAGGAGCAGGAGGAGGAACAGCAGCAGCATGAGCAGGAGTAGGAGGAGCGGGCGGAGCAGGAGGACCCGGAAAATGCGGAGGAGGGGAAAGCAGCGGGGAGACAACGATGAGGAAGGACTCGGAGCCAGAAACATTGCCCGCGCTTGGGCGAGAGCGCCATTCTGAACGACGGGAGCGACGCGCCCGTCCTAACATGAGGCGCGCGCTGCAGCCGGAGCAAACTTTGACACACCGGGGCAGTTCCGACTGGACAAGCAACAATACAACATATCAGTGTTGGAAATCACGTGTGTCGTAAACCGATCAACGGAGATGGCGGATTTCTCTCAGCACGTAGTCGGGGGAGAGAGAGGAGAACAGTATTCTTATCAGGCTACTTGCGTTCTTGCAATATCTGACATCCTACCCCTTGCACCCATCCCTTCCCATTGCGCGGATTTTCTTACGTAGATCCGCCGACGAATGTGATAGCAGACCTAGAACCTAAAGTTCCAAAGATCACCACATCGTGTTGAGCGCAATCAGAAATGGAGCTGTGTACATTGGAGGAGGAGGAGGAGGAGGGGAAGGAGGAGGAGGAGGAGGAGGAAGAGAAGGCGGGGGAGGAGCAGGAGGAGGAGGAGCAGGAGGAGGAGGAGGAGGGAGGAGGAGGAGGAGGAGGATGAGAATGAGTAGGAGAAGAAGGATGAGGTGGATGAGGAAGAAGAGGAGGGTGGGAGGAGGGGAGGAGGAGGAAGAGGAGGAGGAGGAGGAGGACGAGGAGGAAGAGGAGAAGGAAAGGGGAGGAGGAGGAATATGATGATGATTATGATTATGATGATGATGATGATGATGATGATGATGATGATGATGATGATGATGATGATGAAGAGGAGGAGGACCATGAGGAGGAGGATGATGAGGTGGAGGAGGGGTAGGAGGAGGAGAAGGAGGAGAAGGAGGAGGAGAAGGAGGAGGGAGGACGAGGAGGAACAGCAGCAGTAGGATGAGCAGGAGTCGGATAAGCGTGAGGAGCAGAAAGACTAGGGGAAGGTGGAGGAGGGGAGGACAGCGTGGCGACAGCACCGCGTACCCAAAGCGATGGAAAGTCAAACGATCTTTCCACGCGCACCTCGGTGGTCGTCGTGGTTGTCGTCTTCGTCGTCGTCGTCGTTGTCTTCGTCTTCGTCGTCGTCAACTTCGTCGTCGTCGTCGTCGTCGCTCCTATCAGTTTTGGGAAGGCAGGGTAGGTGCTGATGGGATTATCGTCGGGAGGAGTGTGCGCCTCGTCGCAGCCCTCTCGGCCCGACGGGTGCGCAGGCGGGGTTAAAGGCACGAACTTCGTAGACTCCAACCAGCATTACGACGACGAAGCACGCAGGTACAACAATGTCCACAATTGTCACATGTCTGATGCGCAATCATACTACGACTTTGTGTACAGGAAAGCGATGGATCATCTGGGCCCCGAGCCCGCTACTGTTGCCTGGCTGGTCGACCGCGACCGGGCCACGCGGAGCAAGGCCAAAAGTCTTTCTTCCGCTGGCTGGCCGTGGGCGAAGCTTTGCACAACGCCAACGATGCCCACTGCGCCGTGCTATGGACGTGTTCGGGCACGGGAGTGTCCAGACTGGTCTCCGCGGTGATCCCTGCCACAGCCGAGCCCGACTCCGAGGAGGAGAACGACGGCGGCGCCGCTGCTGCCAGGCCGCGGAAACGCCCCCGCGCCCGCCCGCAGCGCAGCGCCAGGCGTCGCCGCCGGCGCCGCCTCTTGCGAAGAAGCAGCATCAGCAGCCGCCGAAGCAACCGAACTGCAGCGCCTTCAATAGCAGGGGCGGCTGCACGAAACTCGGCTGGGAGTGTCTGGAGAAGCGCTCGCATTACTGCAGCATCTGCGGCGCTTGGAGCCACGGGGCCGCAACTTGCGGGAGGCGCTGAGGGGTGCCTGTTTGCAGTTGAATCCTTGTGCTTTTTCTGTCATCCATACTTTGCATGAGCAAGAAGTTGATGTATATTCTGATCATCCGTGCGCTTGGCCGCTCGTACATCATCGCGTGTTTTTGTTGGTTTGTAAGAAATTACTCCACTGCGACCCGACCTAGAAGTTGGAGCCCCTAGGAAAGCAGCATTAGTTGCTATGCTATGCTATGCGATGCTGTGCCATGCTATGCTGCGGTATGCTATGCTATGCTATGATATGATATGCTGCGCCATGCTATGCTGTGCTATGCTGTACTATGCTATGTTATGCTAAGCTGTGCAATGTCATGCTGCGCTGTGCCAAGCTAAGCTATGCTATGCTATGCTCTGCTGTGCTATGCTAAGCTGCGCAATGCTATGCCATGCTATGCTATGCTATGCTGTGCGATGTTTGGCTATGTTATGCTATGCTCTGCTATGCTAATGCAGCGCTGCGCTATGCTAAGCTAAGCTCAGCTAAGCTAACCCTCTAGGCAGAGCCTAGGTCGGGAAGTACACCCATGCTAATTACCCGAAAACAAAACTAAACTCGCACATTGCTTTTGCTCTGCCATTCCTTTGCTTTGGTTTTGCTTTTGCTTTGCCTTGCTTGGCGTTGTTTGTGCTTTGCTTTGCTGTCGCTGCTGTTGCTTTGCCTTTGCGTTGCTGCTATGCTATGCTCTGCTCTGCTCTGCTCTGCTATGCTATGCTTTGCTATGCTATGCTGCGCTGTGCTGTGCTGTGCTGTGCTGCGCTATGCTATGTTATGATGTAGTAAGATGCGGTATGCTACGCTATTCCAGGCTATGCAATGATATGCTGTGCCGCGCTATGCTATACTACATTCGGCTATGTTATTCTGTGTTCTTGTATGATAAAGCTCAGCGAAGCTAAGATGAATCTACTAAGCTAAGATAGACCTGAGCTAAGATGAAGCTAAACTGAGCTATTATGAAATAAGCTAAGTTAATATGATATAGGCAACGCTAAGCTAAGGGGGCGTAGCTGGGGAAACCGCGGGGCGGATGCCGGGGGAACCGCCCGAAGCGGTTCCCCTAGCATCCTTTAAGTTCTAAAGTAAGAACCGTTTTAGGCAGAGCCTAGGTAGGGAACAACTGCATGCCATCTTTCGTTGTCTTGCTCTTCCCCGTCTCCCGCTCTCCTCACCGCCTCCTCTTCCTCCTCCCTCCCCTCTTTTCCCCGCCGCCCCCCCTCTTCAGGATCGGTCCGTTGTCCTCCAGGGCCGCCGCTTTTCGCGGGGCGCGACGGGGGGGGGAGGAGGAGGAACAGGAGGAGGAGGGCGACGACGACGCCGACGAGAGGACGAGGAGCGGCGCATGCGGCCAGGAAGGATGAAACTGGCCTTTTTGTTCCGCTTCGCCTTCGTCAGGCCACAGCGGGCTGTTTTGCCGCGCCCACCCGTGCGACCCTGATTGTGTGTTACCGTTCATGGCCCTATCTTGGCCGCCACAGGCGACGTCGAATGTTGCCCTGGAAGCTGTTCTCGGGCTCGGAGATGTTGTTCCGCCTCCCAGACGCGGCTTCGCAGTATTGCGAAACCCTCTATCTCGTTTTCCGGTGGGCTGTCGAAGAATCAGTTCAGGAGGAGGAGGAGGAGGAGGAGGAGGAGGAGGAGGAGGAGGAGGAGGAGGAGGAGGAGGAGGAGGAGGAGGAGGAGGAGCGAGGAGGAGGAGGAGGAGAGGAGGAGGAGGAGGAGGAGGAGGAGGAGGAGGAGGAGGAGGAGGAGGAGGAGGAGGAGGAGGGGGGGGGAGGAGGAGGAGGAGGAGGAGGAGGAGGAGGAGGGGAGGAGGAGGAGGAGGAGGAGGAGGAGGAGGCGGAGGAGGAGGAGGGGAGGGGAGGAGGAGGAGGAGGAGGAGGAGGAGGAGGAGGAGGAGGAGGGGAGGAGGAGGAGGAGGAGGAGGAGGAGGAGGAGGAGGAGGAGGAGGAGGAGGAGGAGGAGGAGAGGAGGGAGGAGGGGAGGAGGAGGAGGAGGAGGAGGAGGAGGAGGAGGAGGAGGAGGAGGAGGAGGAGAAGAGGAGGAGGAGGAGGAGGAGGAGGAGGAGGAGGAGGAGGAGGAGGAGGAGGAGGAGGAGGAGGAGGAGGGAGGAGGAGGAGGAGGAGGAGGAGGGGAGGAGGAGGAGGAGGAGGATGAGGAGGAGGAGGAGGAGGAGGAAGAGGAGGAGGAGGAGGAGGGGAGGAGGAGGAGAGGAGAGGAGGAGGAGGAGGAGGAGGAGGAGGAGGAGGAGGAGGGAGGAGGAGGAGGAGGAGGAGGAGGACGAAGAAGAAGAAGAAGAAGAAGAATAATAATAATAAGAAGAATAAGAATAATAAGAAGAGGACGAATAAGAAGAATAAGACGAAGAAGAAGAAGAATAATAATAATAAGAAGAATAATAATAAGAAGAATAAGAAGAAGACGAATAATAATGAAGAAGAAGAAGACGAAGAAGAATAATAAGCATAATAAGAATAATAATAAGACGAAGAATAATAATAAGAAGAAGACGAAGAAGAAGAAGACGAATAAGAAGAATAATAAGAATAATAAGAATAATAAGAAGAATAATGAGAAGACGAATAATAATCATAATAATAATAATAAGAAGAAGAATAAGAATAATACTAATAATAATAAGAATAAGAAGAAGACGAATAAGAAGAATAATAATAATAAGAATAATAATAAGAAGAAGAACAAGAAGACTAATACTAATAAGAATAATAATAAGAAGAATAAGACTAATAATAAGAATAAGAAGAAGAATAAGAAGAATAATAATCCGGAGAAGAATAAGAAGAATAATAAGAAGAATAAGCATACTAATAAGAAGAATAATAATAATAAGAAGAATAAGAATAATAATAATAAGAAGAATAATGATATGAATAATAAGAAGAATAATATGAATAATAATAATGATAAGAAGAATAAGAAGAATAATAAGAATCATAATAATAATAAGAAGAAGAAAAATAAGAATACGAATAATAATAATAATAAGAAGAAGAATAGGAAGAAAAATAAGAATAATAATAAGAAGAAGAAGAATAATAATAAGAAGAAGGATGAGGAGGAAAAACCTTCTCGGAAGCTTTCTTGGAAAACTCTGGGCCCTTCAAGAAGGCCCTTGCCTTCTTGGACTGCCTCACGCCTTCTTTGAAGACCGTCCCCTCGCGCCCCCCCACCCCCCACCTTGCTCCGACCAGCCTCCTCCTCCTGCTCCCCATCCGTTCTACCTCCTCCTCGTCCTCCTCCTCTTTCCCTCCTCCTCCTCCTCCTTTTCCTCGTCCTCCTCCCTCTGCTGCTCCTCCTCCTCCTCCTCCTCCTCCTCGTCCTGCTCCTTGTCTTCCCCTCCCCTGCTCCTGCTCCTCTTCGTCCTACCTCCTCTGTCTTCTCCCTCTGCTCCTTATCTTCTCGTCTCCTCGTCCTCCTCTCCTCCTCTCCCTCCTCCTCCTCCTCCTCCTCGCCTCCTCCTTTTCTCCTCTTCCTCCCTTCTCTCCTACCTCCTCCTCCTCCTCCTCCTCCTCCTCCTCCTCCTCCTCCTCCTCCTCCTCCTCCTCCTCCCCCTTCTCCTCTTTCGTGGGGCGGGAAATCAATTCCACCACTTGCACCTCCGAGAACAGCGGGCTCGTCTCGGAGGCAGCGCCAAACGCCGACCTTCGGATCGGGCCCGCTTCCTCAGGTGCTGCCCCCTGCGTTCGTGACGGCCCTCGGCTCGCCCTTTTCTCGACCCATCTCCTCCGCCCCACAGTGTCTTGCCGCGCCGCAGTGCCGTCAGAGCGCTTGTCGGGTGCACCAGCCCGTCCGCGCCATCGCGATTTCGGGTGTGCCTGAGCATCTGCGCCACAGTGCTGCAAAGGCCCTTGGCCGAGTCCTTCCTGCCTCTCCCTCCTCGTCTTCCTCCGTGGTCGGCTGGTGCATCGTGGAGTCCCCGCCTCATCCTCGGCCCGCCCTGGCAGGAGAAGAAGTCCGTGGTGCACATCCCGTGGTACTACGAGCGCGCCCTGAGGCGGCCAGAGCCCCGGAAGGGGATCGAGGCAGGACGTAGGTCTACATCAGGGGCAGCGACAGGGGGGGATACGCATAGGGGGGGACGCATCGACCCCCAATCGCCCACTGATCGCCGACAGGCGCCCGATAGCCACAACCTGCACAGGAAGGTGCGGATTCACTATTGGGGGCCTATCGCCGATACATCGGCGATGTATCGCCGATTCCAGGCCGATGCGTCCCCCCCCATGCCAGTCCGCCCCGATCGTTGCCCATCACTGCATGGACGCTCACATGGCTCGTCTCGGGCCTCCAGGGGCCTCCGGAGGCTTCCAGGATCTCCGGGGCCCTCGCCACAGCTGGAGTCACTTCGAGCTTCTGGTAAGGACGCGCCCCAGGAGCGGTCCAGAGAGCAGAGGCAGAGGCAGCTCTTTTGTCGGGTTGGCCCAACAGGTGATCCAGCGACAAGGGGGTGGTGCAATAGATCTGGTGCAATGGATTTGTGGGGTTGCAATGCATGTGCGGCGTGCAATACATTTCGGGGCGCAAATGTGTTGTTTTTTTCGCGTGCAATGCATTGCTTGCAAAACATAAAAGGCAGCGTTGAGGACCGCTTCAGGAACCCTTCACTCCGAATCACACGAGCGTCACTGTCACGCCACAGAGCGTGATCCCACGATATGGTAGTACGCAGTCCCCCCGATGAGAACCGAGAACGGGGCTCCCAAACTCGAAAGCAAGTTGCGCCCTCGTTCTGGCGACTCCTGGCCAGGCACAGGCAAATTACAAGACAGCCTGGATGAGCGACGCGTCTGGGCGATCGAAGCGAAGCTGTACCAGCATCTGCTCGCGTCAAGGGAAAAACGATGGAAGGATGTGGATATCCTCTTTGAGCCTCAGCGAATTGTTGATCGGACAGCGAGATCATGTACACACAAAGCCGTTCCATGCCCTCACTGTGATCTTCGTCTCGCGGGCGAAGGGCCGCGGGCGTGCGCAGACTGTCCCAGATGCCTTCGGGGCCTACGAGCAGTTCGATCTCGTCGGCGGCCCACTCGACTGTGCGCAGTGTCCGCTTCTCGACGGGGAGCGTGTCCATGCAGGGCAGGGTAGACATGACGCCCGCGACCCCAGACTCCTCGTAGGCGTTCATGAGCGCCACGCTGACAGCCGTAAGCCGGAACAACTCCAGATGGGCGCGAGAAACTCGAAGGATCCAGTCTACGTAGGCGACGGGCAGCCAGCCGCGCAAAGGGGACCTCAACATGTTCCGAAAAGGAATGTATACCTCCGACATCGTGCCAGATGACCTCGGCGATATAAAGCACTCACCCAGATTCGCAGAAGCAGTGCAACCTGCTTCAACCAGTGTCGATGGTGCAGTGCTCGGGGCCACGGGGGCCACGCAATCAATATCAGCCTTGGGCAGAACAGCGAAACGATGAAGCAGAAGTACTTCACGAGGTACCTGATGAGGGCGGAGGAGCTGAAGGATGTGTGCACTCGCTTGCACCCGCGCCTCACGCCCTGCAGCCAGCTGCCCGCGGCGCCAGCGACGGCGCGCGCTCGGGCCACGGGCCCGCGAGCGCCGAGGGGCCTCACATCCCGTAGGGCGGCCCGCGCACTGGGCCAGGCAAATGGCTGCCGTCATCGGGGAGGCGCTGCGGCGAGTGACATCATCGCGACTCGGCGAGAATCATCCCCAGGCCGTAGGGTGGCCAGCTTGATCCAGAGTGGCCTTATACGATAAGAAATCTAGATATAAGACATCTTGGGGCACATTCCTCGTCGATCTTGGAGAGCTCTAGTGCGCCCCAGGGCTTCTGTGGGCCCCTGGGGCAAACGGGAGGTGCGGCATTTTCGCGCGGCACCTGCTGGCAGGCTGCTTTCTTCTTTGATGAGCCCACTGTATGAGATGGCTCCCAGACCTGTGACGTCGTATTTGTTATTCACTGCGCCCCCTCTGGAAGTCTCTGCCCCCAACCCCGAAGGCCAGTTTTTCATCGTGGCTCGTTTTATGACGGTCCGATGGCCCGAAACGGGCCTCCAGATGAGAATGGCGAAAAACCTCCGCCGATGTTAGAAAAACAACGAGCTGGGGGTTTGAGTGAGTTGGGGATCAAGCGGCTGCAGTGGCGCGGCGTCGCCGCCGCCGCCGTCGCGGCCGCCGCTGCCGCCGTCGCCGTGGCAGTGCCCTTGGATGCGGCCATCGACGCCGCCGCCGCCGTCGCCGTCGTTGCTGCTGCCCCCCCCTGCCAGGCGGATGCAGTAGCGCGGCGTCCATGGCGGGGCGACCCGCGCGGGCATATCCGCGGCAGCGCCGGCTCGCAGTGCCCCGCGCGGGCCGCGCAGCCGTCGCTGCGGCCCGCCCGCGCGCCCCGAGCTGTGTGGGCGGCGCGCCCCGCGGGCGGCCTCGGCGGCCCGCGCTCCTGGCGGCCCCCGTTTCCCAGCGCGCAGCGCTCTGTGCGCTGCGCGCCCTTCCCCTTCGACGGGACAGCTCTGCCGAGGTGGCGTCCGTCCGTGCAGGCGTCCTCGCGGCCCCCGTTTCGCAGACTCAGACGTCCAGCGTCCGTCGAGGGGCAAGGAGGTCGAGGCCCTGGAGGCCAGGACTCTGCAGACCAGGTCCTTGGAGGATCCTCGTCGGACGGGACGAAAAAAGGGGAAGGTCTCGAGCCACGGCTGTAGCTTTCTCGGGCGCTTCAGTGTCCTGTTTTAACAAAAGTCCCCGTCTACGAGGCCCTGGAAAACAGGCGTAGATAAGCCTTCGGAGGTCCGTGCAAGGCTCTTGTGTCGGCGCTGGACGCCCTCGCGCGCTAGGGGAGGGGGGCGCAGCGTCGACGCGAGCAGTCCGCGCGGACCTCCAGAGGGTCTTGTTTCTTGTCCAGGATCCTGGTCTGTGGCCCTTCCTCGGGCCTCCAGAGGCCTCCCCCCGCTTTTCGTTCCCCCGCATCCCCGAGGAGGAGGAGGAGGAGGAGGAGGAGGAGGAGGAGGAGGAGGAGGAGGAGGAGGAGGTGGGGCAGGGTCGAACGGTTTGGGCGCCACGACCTCCAAAGGTCACGGCGCGCCGAAGGCCTGTGCTCCCAGACCTCTGGCGCCCTGGCGTGGCCTCTGCGTGGCTTTTGGAGGTCCTCTGCAGGGCTCGTGGCGGCTTCCCGGCCGCGGGGGCGCTCCTCGCCGATGGGGCCCTTCTCGGACGGGGCTAGGACGCGGATAAATCCTTTCCCAGAGCGTTCCGGAACGCTCTGAGAAGGCGGCCGAGACATCCATCAGAACACAGTTGGACCTCAGAGGTTCTCGATTCATCCGTGCCCGATGTTATCCTCCTCCTGGCTTCGTCTTACTTCCACCGGACATCGTTCGGAGCGGCGCTCTGACTTCGGGCCAGAAGCTCCAGACTTTGATGTTCGGGGCGGCCGTGGTTGCTCTGCCCAGTGTCGTCATGCCCATCCCAATCCGCAGTGGGCCAGGGTTCCTTCACGCCACCAGCCTGCCGCCTGTAGATGGGGACATGTGCCATGGAAACGCCACCAGCCTGCCGCCTCCAGGTAGGAACAGGTGCCATGGAACCCGACGGAAAGCTCATGCATACCCACCCAGAGTGGGTAGGTCGGCCAGCAGGGAACACGTCTTCCCGATGGGGGTCGGGGCTGGTGCATCGCCGATGCTGGTCTGCACTGCCCACCGCGCTTCGCCCTGGCCTTTGCACGGTGGGTGGTGCTTCTGGTGCTCTCCGCGGTGCTCGCGAGTTGGGGCCTCGGGGAGCGGGCCGCTGCGGGCCCCGCGCGGCCCACTCGGAGCAGCCCGCTGTGCGAGAGCCGTCCGTCGTCGTTTAACGATGCAGGTATGACAAATTACCGTTAGCAGGGAAGCAAAGAAAAAGCAACGGGGCAAGAAGAGGTGGGCTTGGGAGCTCCAGACACCCACGGGGCTTACTGGAGCAGCAGGGCGTGACGTCGGACGTCTGGGGATCGAGCCAGACAGCACCACGTGAACATTTGTGGAGGTCCCCCCCCCCCCCCCATTCTTCCAGGGGAGGAGGAGGAGGAGGAGGAGGAGGAGGAGGAGGAGGAGGAGGAGGAGGAGGAGGAGGAGGAGGAGGAGGAGGAGGAGGAGGAGGAGGAGGATGATGAGGAGGAGGAGGAGGAGGAGGAGGAGGAGGAGGAGGATGCGGATAGACGCTGGGCGGGGATGGAAGGGTGTTGGCTGGGGAAGCCAGATTGCAACTCCTGGGGGGGTTCAGCCAGTTATCTGCCGTGGTGTTTTCGTGGCGCGAATCTGGCCTAATCCAGCCTGATTCTGCAGGGTCTGGCTCAAATCTTGTTCAACTCGGCTTTGCAGATCCATGATCTGAATCATTAGCTCCTCAGTTCTCCTTCTCGTGCGCAGTGCGCGCAAGTGAGCGTTTTTTTTTCCTCCCCCCAGGGTAACGATCGTCACCCAGGCCCCCCCCCGTTGACGCTAACGATTGTACTGGGAGGGATGGCCTGGTCCCCCCTGCATGCTGATGTACACAGGCGCTGTGGTGTACGCAAGCGCTCTGGTGTACGTAGGCAATATGGTGTACACAGGCGCTGCTGCGCACACGGCTGCTGCAGTACACACAGGCACTGCGGTGTACATAGGCGACGTGGTGCTGCGGTGCACGCAGCTGTTGTGGTGCACGGAGCCACTGTGGTGTACACGGGCGGCGCTGTGTTGCACGCAGGCATTGGGCATTGTCGTGTGCACATGGGCTGTGGTGCACACAGGCGATTGATGCGCCGTTGGCGCGGACGCACCCTAGCGGGTGCACGCCGCGGCCGCCGTTACCATTACTCTCCCGCCCGACCTCCCCCACCCCCCTCCCTTGGTAGCGACCGCTGCCCGTGAAGGGAAAAACGGTCACTAAACGCCTCCCTTGAGTTGCCACCTCCCCGCAGAAACTCTAAACAGCATACGTAGCAGTTGGCACGAACAGGGGAGGGGGGCCCGCACCTCGCTGTCCCGTCGCCCTGGGCGCCCTGCTCCCGTGGGCTCGCGGCAAACCTCCGCGATGCCCCTCCCGCCGCTTTTCCACCCCCTCGCAAGCGAGGGAGGCCTCTGACCTTGCGTTCCCGGGACTGTGCCCGCGCAATTCGGAACGAGTTCCGCGGCAGAAGCGGCGAGCGCCCTCGATTGATGGGCCTGTTTTCCACCACCACCACCACCATAAATTGGAGGGGGGAAGGAGGTGGAGGAGGAGGAGGAGGAGGAGGAGGAGGAGGAGGAGGAGGAGGAGGAGGAGGGAGGAGGAGGAACGGAGGAGGAGGAGGAGGAGGAGGGGAGGAGGAGGAGGAGGAGGAGGAGGAGGAGGAGGAGCAGGAGGAGGAGGAGGAGGAGGAGGAGGAGGAGGAGGAGGGGGATGACCCCCTCCCCCCCTCCTTATGGTGGTGGTGGTGGTGGTGGTGCTGGAAAGCAGGCCCATCATCGATGCTCGGGCTGGTGGCCCGTGAGTTTAACCCCTGGGCCATCTTCGACGGCGCGCAGGGGGGGGGGTCGACTAGATATAAGAGTGCCCTTTCGCTGGAGTGACCTTTGGTGCGGGCACAGATGGGCCCTCAGATGGCTGAAAACGAAGCGGTAGCAGCGGCTTGCGCGCCCAGGTTTGGTCTCCCCGCGGACCCCAAAAAGCCGCGCACCAAAGGTCACTCTTACCCAGGGTCACTCTTGCGTGTAGTCGAGGGGGGCGTGGGAGGGACTCGATGTGCACACGTCCGCGTCGCTTGGTCGGCCGGGGAGCGGAGGAGTCCAGCGGACGGAGTTCGGCGTTTGCACGCTCTCCAGGGTCCCCACGGGGCGGGGGGAGCGGGGGCGTCCGTGCACCGAGCTCCCTGGCCGACCAAGCGACGTGGTGCCCGCGTCGAGCTCCTCTCGGGGGCGGAGTGAGGATCAGCCGCGCGCAGAGGGGGGTGGGGGGAGGGGGGCGGGCTTCTCAGAAGCACCCCTGCTTCCTTGCGCGGGCCAGATCTACAGATGTAGGGCGGGCGCCTTCGAAGGAGCAGCCTCCTTCTGAGAAGCCCTCCCCCCACCCCCCACCCCCTTGCGCGCGCCGCTAGGAGGAGGGCGGCCCTCCACGAAACCGGGGGGGGGCTCCTCGGAAGCCCCTTCCCTTGCCTTAAGTCGGGCCTGTCCCTCTACAGGGGGAATGTCCAAAAACAGTGAAAAAATAGCCTGGGGACTATTTTTGTTCGTCCAACATCCCCCTGTAGGGGGACATGCCCGACCTAACCCCCTGCCCTCCGAGGGAGGCCTCCTCCCGGGGCCCCCGCGGGCCCCTCCCCCGGAGCCCTGCCGCCTGCCTCCGGGGGGCCGCCCCCTCTTCGCCCTGCCATGAGGTCGGGCCCGTCCCTTTATAGGTTATAGGAGGCACATTCACACATAGTCAAACCATAGTGTTTTGTGCAAGAAATAAGTTTAACACAATATATACATGTATACACACACACACACACACACACACTATTTTTGAGCATTTGTGGAGTTTTTTTTTGTTTTTCGTCCAAAATCAGCCTGCTGGGTGACAGGCCAGACCTGACCCTACCACGCCCTCCCCCCCTCTGGCGCGCCGCTGACCACCCGCGAGCAGCGTGGCCGGAGGGCTTCCACCCTGTCGGAGCCCTTTGTGCATGGAAAGGGGTGGCGCGGGGCGTGGGGCGGCAAGACAGGGCTTGCGGAGAGAAGGAAGGGGGAGCGAGAGGGAGATGGAGCGATAGAGAGAGAGAGAGAGAGAGAGAGAGAAAGAGAGAGAGAGAGAGAGAGACAAAGAGAGAGCGAGGGAGAAAGAGAGAGAGAGAGAGAGAGAGCGAGCGCTGCGCTGTCCAGCACGTGTGAAGAGGAGGAGGAGGAGGAGGAGGAGGAGGAGGAGGAGGAGGAGGAGGAGGAGGACCAGTGCAAACCCAAGATTCATCAACGATGTTGCAATAAAACCTCCCTCCCAGCTACCTCTTCATAGGCCCCCACAAGGGTTCAGTTCCATTGGGGGAAGTGCCCCGTTGGGAGACAGCGGTTTGAAGATCTGAAGCGTGCCAAAACACCATGCTCGGGACTCCAACGCCACGAATCAACCGAACTAGTGACTTCTGAGGGTCCTCAATCGTGCTAGAACGCCGTTCCTGGGACTTCACCACCGCGAATGAACGTTACTGTTGCGCCCGGGCAATTCTGAATATTTCCGAAACGCTATTTCTGGTACTTTGACTATGGGCATCCGTGAAACTGGTTAAGGATTTTGTAAATCGAATGTGCGGGGGCGCTCAGGCGAGAGACCCATTTTAAAAAGCCACCTGGAACTGTGAAGCTCTTACCTACACATTGTTTGAACGAGTGTTCGCGGCGCCAAGGCGAGGGCCACATTTCGAAAACGACCTGCCATCAATCCGTGAAGCTCTTGCAAATTCTTAAGAGTGTACGCGGCGCGCAGGCGAGAGCCACATTTTGAACACGACCCGCCCTCCATCCGTAAAACTCTTGCGCGGCGCTAACGCGAGAGCCACATGTTGAAAACCACCCGCCCTCAATCTGTGAAGCTCTTGAATGTTGAAGACAAATGTGCGCGGCGCTACGGCGAGAGCCACAACCAAACGGCCCGCCCTCCATGTGTGAAGCTGTTGCCAATCTTCAAACTTCAGGATTATCATTGTTTTTCAGGTCTCAGGCGAAACGCCCGACCCGCCCTTCCGACTGGCCTCGGGGTGCAATTGGGAGGAGTTGTTTATATGGAAAAGGAAGGGAGGAGGAGCGGGAGGAGGAGGAGGAGGAGGAGGAGGAGGAGCACGAGGGAGAGGAAGAAGTGGAATTGGAACTGGCTACATGACAATGTCTTATTGAAAAAAGCAGTGGGGCACAACTGACTGGCCAACAATCAATGCAGTGCTCGCGACTCTGCTGGCGCTCTTTGGCGCCTGGTCGCTTTCTCCGTCCTGCTCAAGACCTTTGGCCAAGGATGAGCGGTAATTCATTACGTGGGAGGACTAGGCGGAGGGGTAGGAGCAGGAGGAGGAGGGGGAGGAGGAGAAGGAGGAGGAGGGGGAGAGGAGGAGGGAGATGGGGAGGGGGAGGGGGAGGGGGCGGAGGAGGGACGAGGACAAGGCATAGGAGAAGGACGGTGAGCACGTGGGATGATGATGCTGCTGCTGCTGATGATGATGATGATGGTGATGGTGATGGTGATGGTGATGGTGGTGGTGGTGATGATGCTGATGATGATGATGCTGATGCTGATCATGCTGCTGATGATGCTGCTGATGATGCTGATGTTGATAATGATGCTGATACTGATGATGCTGCTGATGATGCTGCTGATGCTGCGGATGCTTATAATTATAATGCTGCTGCTGGTGCTGCTGATGATGATGATGATGATGATGATGATGGCGATGGCGATGGTGATGAAGGTGGTGATGATGATGAGGAGCATGGTGATGGTGATGATGATGATGATGATGATGATGATGATGATGATGATGATGGTGATGGTCATGGTGGTGGTGGTGATGATGAAGATGACGATTCAGATTCAGATGGTGATTGTTGTTGTTGAGAATGGTGATAATGAGGGTGGTCATGGTCATGTATGGTGATTGTGACGGTGATGGTGATCGTTAGGATGATGGTAATGGTGATGCTAGTGATAATGATGATGATGATGCTGATGATGATGATGATGATGATGATGATGATGATGGTGATGGTGGTGGTGGTGGTGATGGTGGTGATGCTGATAATGATTATGATGATTGTTGTGGTGGTGATGAGGTTGTTCATGCTGTCAATGATTTTGATGGTCTTGCTTATGATGTTGTCGAGTCTTCATTTCTAGAAAACAGTTCTTGATGATCCCTCCCTCCCTCCTCCAGTGCCCATTGTCTTTTCAATTGAGGTGCCCGTCCTTGGGCTCGCCCCTTGTTTTTTACCAGGGGAAGTCTTGCGCCTCACTCTGCCTTGCTGGCCCCCGAACTACCACAACAACGGGTCCCGCCTGACACGTCTTCGCAATTGCTTCAAAATCGCGAACTCGTGCTGGACTTCGTAACAAGTTGTCTAGGAATCGCGCTCTCGCTGCAATTTATTGAGACGTCGCGCCCTCGACCCTCAGGAATCACGCTCTCGCTCTGGACTTACTCACGATTTACTTCGGAATTGCGCTATCGTTCGAGACCCCTACACGGTTCGTGGAGGACTGACTCTTCTGCGATGCGCCCGTTCGATCCGGCCGTCTGGGCCCGCCCGCCCGATCCGCCCGGCAGGGTCCACCCGCCCGACCCGCCCGTTTGGTTCTGTCCCCTCCTGCGAATCTCTCTCGTGCTCCATCCTTCTGTCTCCTCCTTGTCCAATCCCTCCTTCCTCCATCCCCTTCCTCTGTTTTAGTAGCTGCGGCAACCACACGTGGCAGTAAAGAAGATATGCCCCAAGGTCGGTACGATCGAAGACGAAGGGGGTGGGTGTCGAAGGTGTTGCATATACATGTTGGTAGACACGTGAGCAGAGAAGAACCAACATTATTAAACTGATTGTTGTTGTTGATGATGGTGATCATGAGGCGGAGGAGGAGGAGGAGGAGGAGGAGGAGGAAAAGGGTGAGGATGAGCGGGATGATAACGGGGGCAGGGGGATGATGAAGTAGGATCAGGGAATGATCAGCAGGATGAGTGCGACTAGGATGAGGGTGAAAGTGCTGACGACGAGAACTGCGAGGCTGCTGTTGAGCTACAATTTCCGAGCACACTATTCTTGATCCTTCCGACCGTTGTCCATTCTGTTCTCTTCGAAGCTGTCGTGTGTCGCCAAAGGCCGGCGAGCCTGTCCGACGGGATGCCTTCCTCAGGGAGGAGGAGGAGGAGGAGGAGGAGGAGGAGGAGGAGGAGGAGGAGGAGGAGGAGGAGGAGGAGGAGGAGAGGGAGGAGGAGGAGGAGGAGGAGGAGGAGGAGGAGGAGGAGGAGAGGAGGAGGAGGAGGAGAGGAGGAGGGAGGAGGAGGAGGAGGAGGAGGAGGAGGAGGGGAGGAGGAGGAGGAGAGGAGGAGGAGGAGGAGGAGGGGAGGAGGAGGAGGAGGAGGAGGAGGAGGAGGAGGAGGAGGAGGAGGAGGAGGAGGAGGGGAGGAGGAGGAGGAGGAGGAGGAGGAGGAGGAGGAGGAGGGGGAGGAGGAGGAGGAGGAGGGAGGAGGAGGAGGGGGAGGAGGAGGAGGAAGAGGAGGAGGGGGAGGAGGAGGAGGAGGAGGAGGAGGAGGAGGAGGGGGAGGAGGAGGAATGCCGGCGGGAAGGCTGGGCGGGAAGGTCGGCAGGCCGGCGGGAAGGTCGGCGGGGAGGCCGCGGTCGACGGGGTCCGCCGCGGGCGGCGGAGGCCGCTGGTGGGGAGGCCGCCGCGGGGAGGCCGCTGCGGGGAGTGCGCGCGCAGCCCGAGGCCGCCGCGCTGCCCGCGGCGAGACGTGCGAGCGACCTTTCGCCGGAGTGACCTCTGGTGCGGGCCCCATCCCAGACATGATCGCGTCGTGAAAGAATCAGGGGAAGTTTTTGGCTATTTTTGGCTCCGGGGGGCCCTCGCCGGGCCCCGGGACCGTCAAAAAACGACTCAGGACGAAAAACAGGTCCCCGCTAAAGGGTCGGGACTTCCAGGGACGCCGTCCTGACAAAATCAGGACGTCGCATGTCTGGAATGGGTTCCCCCGACCGCTGAACGCGGAGCGGCAGCAGCGGCTTGCGCGCCCAGGTCTGGCCACCCCGCGTCCCCTTGTTGAGCCGCGCACCAAGGGTCACTCTTGCCCAGGGTCACTCTTGCGAGTAGCCGATCCCCGCCCTCCCTCCTCCTGCATGCCGGCCAAGTCGCTTTGTGGTGCCCCTGCATTGCTGCCGCCGACGGGAAAAAATATAGCCGATTCCCGCAGGGCGTGGTGCAGTTCCTGGTGTTCGGGCCCATCGACGTTCCAGCCGGGCGGGCGGGGCTGCTGGTGTTGCTGCTGCCCTTCCTCGCCTCTTCCGCCTCCTTCTTCTTCTCCCTCCCTCTTTCTTCTTCTTCTTCTTCCTCCTTCTCTCCTCTTCCTCCCTCGTTCTTCCCCCTCCTCCTCCTCCGCTGGGTCGCATTCAAGGGGCCCTCGTTTGCTGCGCTCTAATTTGGTCGTGAACCAGAACGCCAGGCATGCAAAATCGAGCAGTTCCGCAAGCCAGTAGGAAACCTGAGGAACCCGCCGACGAGTGTTTGAAAGCGCCGACGAAATCTTCCTCCGCCTGCTCCTTTTGCTTCTCCTTTTCCTCCTCGCGCCAGGCTCGGCACAACAAGGGCAACAGCATTTACGGCCTGGGCCTCCTAGTGGTCCAGATGGCGAGACCAATAATGTCAGATACGGAGGAGAATATGGAAGGACGATTTGGCGAACATATGCAGAACATGACGTCGATGCATCTTTGCATGGGTCTCATGTGCATGTACATTATAAAGCCATATGTATATGTGTGCGCATATGTAGATGCACATGCACATGCACATGCTTATACATGTGCACAACTGAAAAGTATATAATTATGTATGTGTATATATATATATATAT